GCGCGGAGCCATTGGGGGTGTGCGCGCGTGGCCGCCTGTCGGCGCCATGCAGGCTTGGGGGCTGTGCTAGCGTGGGGACTGGGGAGGGCGGGGGCGCGCGGAGGTGCTCATTGTCTCGGTGCGGTTTGGAGAGGGAGGCAGGCGAGGGATGGCGCGCGACGGGAAGGGCTTCTGGGGCGCTGTGACTCTCATGTAGGCGTGCGGAATAGCGGGGAGGGGCTCCTGCCCTGCTGCTGAATGGGGATTTGGGGCGGGTTGCAGAGGGCCAAGGGGCACCTGTCAGCTGACCGTGCGCGCGGGCGCTGCGTGCAGAAGCCGCAGAGCTCGCACGGAAGGGGGCTGCAGGAGGCATTTTGGTGAGGGACTGGGGTTTTACGGGAGGAAGAAGTTGCCGGGCTGGAGAGTCGTGTACTTATGTCTGCCTGTGGAAGGCTGCGGTTTTCAGGAAGACAGGTTACGCTCTTGGGAGGAGCATGGATATAGGGTGCAGAGCCCCGTGTGTGTAGCATAGGGGCGGGCAATTATTTCGGGCAGAGGGCCGCTTACTGAGTTTTCGCAATCTATCGGGGGCTGCATGACACGCAGCCCAGGGCAGATAAATATTATTTAAAAAAATGTTTTAGGGGCCCCGTGGGCCAGATAGAATTGTCTGGCGAGCCGCATCCAGCCCCTGGGCTGCATTTTGCCCATCCCTGGTGTAGCAGATGCTGGGTGCTACCCGGGCTGGGTCAGTAGAATTTGTTCGGAAGTGGATGCTTAACAGGTTTGTGAGAGGGGAGGTATGGTGTATGCATGCTCATGGAAGGAGTGTGCTTGCAGAGTGGTTCTTATGCATGTATAGGAGAGGCGCCGTGTGTGCGCAAACATGAGGGAGGGGAAACTGGTTTTGCATGTGTTTATGAAGAGAAGAAGAGCACTTATAAATGGATCTCTTCAGTCTGCCTTCTGTTTCCCAGTTTCATGGGCTTTAAAGCCAGAAGGGATCATTCAACCATCTAGTATGGTCCTGTGCGCGCGCTCTCTCTCTTTATTATGAGTTACTACATTTCACCCAGCTATCCCTGTGTTCAGAGACTTCAGGGAAGCTGAGATGCCTTCAAAGAATAAAATGTTGCCTGCCACAGGAAGGGATCAAGATAAATGGAGGTATCACCAGTAAGTAAGGACTCTGCAAGGGCAGGGAACTGATTAAACAGGAAGTGTCAAGATGGGCTCACTGATCCACACTTCAAACTGGAGAGAAAGTGAAAAACCCTCCAAGTTCCTGCCAGTCTGATCTGAAAGAGAATTCCAAAGCTGGGAATCACTGTGACTGAGCATGTGAGCAAGGCAGACCATTCAGGTACATAAACAGAGGGTTAACTATACCACCCTGGTTTGGTCTCAGGTCTTTATCTGCAAACAAACTCTAATGCTTGAGGAGTGACACTTGACCCCTGACTTGCAGGCTGAATCTGGCCCCCAGGGCCATGTCAACTGCCCTATAGGGCTCCCGACAGGTTTGTAAATCTGATGACAGGGGAGCAGTGGCATCATTGTCAAAACTTCCAGAACCATAGGAGTTGATACTGATACAACTCCACTGCTGCCAAATTTTCATGGTCATGGAAAGGCCCATGGGCCAAATAACATGACCTCACATGCTGGATTGCACTGGTGCACAGAGTTGGGCCACAGCTGGATCTAGTGCAGAGGTGTGAAAAATGTGGTCCATGTGGACTGGACTGCCAAGCCATTCTATCCGGCCCGCGGGGCCCCTAAAAAATTTAGAAAATTAATATTAATCTGCCCTGGGCTGCCTGTCATGCAGCCCTCGATGCCTTGCCAAAACTCAGTAAGTGGTCCTCCGCCCAAAATAATTGCCCGCCTCTGATCTAGTGTGTGGAGCTTGGCTGGCATGCAGGATTGGTCTGTGGCCATATCTGATGTGCAGGGCTCAGTTGGTATACTGGATCACACCCATGGACCAACTCTGCACTGACCCTACAGCGGATCTAGCCTGTGGACCAACCCCCATCTGCAGGACCTGCCCCATGTACCAGCCCTGTGCCATTCATTTAGCCTACAGGGCTGGAAGTTTGAGCACCACTGCTTCAGAACAGAAGGTACGCAATCCCTGGCCCAGCTATGGCCCATGGGGCCTGGTCTCAGCACACAGGGCCAGGTGGAGGTGGCATAGGGCCCTGGAACAGTGCAGGGCTTGATTCCAGCGCACAGAGGTGGTACAAGCCTGATCTGTGTGCACAAAGCTGGGTGGAGGTGCTGCAAGGCCCCAGAGCCTGATCCCAGCATGCAGGGCCTGGTGTTCCAAGTGTATGGAACCTGGCAAAGGTGGTCTGAGCCCTAGAGCCTGATATCTGCACACAAAGCCTGGTGGAAGCACTGCAGGATCCCAGAGCCTGATCCTGGCTTCCAGAGCCTAATGGAGGTGGTGCAGGTTCCTAGGGCCCTGACCCTAGCATGTAGGACTGGATGGAGGCAGTGTGGGGTCCAGGGCCCCAGTTCCTGCATGGGGGGCTGGGCAGGAGCAGCATGGGGTCCCAGAGGCCTGCTTCCAGTATGTAGGACCAAGTGGAGGCAGCATGGGGTCCTAGGGCCATGGGGTCCTGTAAATGCCATGTGTCCCTGGCGGCTGGGGGGGGAAGGGCATGGCGAGCTCCCGCAGGCAGCTGAGGCACTGTTGGCAGCAGAGGGGTGGGAGGCAAGCACCGACCTGCAGTTGGCAACCACCCGCAGATGCCGCCAGCAGCGTTGGCAGCGCCTTTTTGCATCCGTGTGCACCCCCTATGCATTGCCAATGCAGGGCCTGGTGGGGGCAGTATGATTTGAATCCAAGTGTGCAGGCTTGATTTTGAGATTAGGGGTCAAGTCCAGCCCACGGATCGGTCCCATACCCCTCATTTGGCCCATGGGACCACAAGGTTGAGCACCACTACTTCAGAGGATGGTGGGAAAAAACAAATGAAAACAACAGCAAACAGTACAATGCAGTTGAAGAAACAAACATTACTGATTGCATCAGACAACAGGCTGAAGCCTTGCATGATGAGATTGCCTTAAAACCATTAATTTAAAGCAGAGCTGTAGGGGTGCACTGATAGAGATTTTTGAGGCCGATACTGATAGCTGATATTTAAAGAGACATATCAGCTGATACCGATCCGATTTCCAATACAGCTGCCTCTAGCTGGTAAGTCTGGTGTGGTGGAAGGGGAGGTGGTGCTCTGGTGTGCTCGTGGTGCTCCGATTTGGTGCCAGAGGACTGGAAAAGGACCAATGTGGTTCCCATTTCCAAAAAAGGGAGGAAGGAGCAACCAGGAAACTGTAGGCCAGTTAGTCTTACCTCCATCCTGGGTAAGCTTTTTGAGAGAATTATCTTGGCACACGTCCGCGAGGGGCCAGCAGGGGAGATTATGCTTAGGGGCAACCAACATGGGTTCATTAGAGGCAGGTCCAGTCAGACCAACCTGGTGGCCTTTTATGACCAGGTCACAAAATCCTTAGATGCAGGTGTAGCAGTGGACATAGTATTTCTGGACTTTAGGAAGGCCTTTGACACTGTCTCTCACCCCATTCTCATTAAAAAACTAGGGGACTGTGGTGTTGACACCTACACAGTCAGTTGGGTCACTAACTGGCTGGAGGGGCGTACCCAGAGAGTGGTGGTGGACGGGTCATTTTCGACCTGGGGGGATAAGGGCAGTGGGGTTCTGCAGGGCTTGGTCCTCGGGCCTGCACTGTTCAACATCTTCATCAGCGACTTGGACAAGTGGATGAAAAGCACCCTGTTCAAATTCACAGATGACACTAAGATGTGGGGGGATGTAGGCACACTAGAAGGGAGGAATAGGCTACAATTGGACCTGGACAGGTTACAGGGGGGGGGCGGATGAGAACAGGATGGGTTTCAACACTGACAAGTGCAAGGTACTGCACCTGTGGGGGAAGAACCAGCAGCATACCTACAGGCTGGGGAACTCCCTTCTCGTCAGTGCAGAGGCAGAAAAGGATCTTGGAATCATTATTGATGCCAAAATGAACATGGGCCAACGGTGTGGGGACGCAGTCAGGAAGGCCAACCATACATTGTCATGCATTCACAGATGCATCTTGAGCAGGTCCAAGGAGGTGATCCTCCCCCTCTATGTGACGCTGGTCAGGCCGCAGTTGGAGTACTGCATCTAGTTCTGGGTGCTGCACTTCAGGAGGAAGGCTGAGGATGGATCTAGTGGCTGTTTACAAACTAGTCAGGAGGGACCAGCAGGCACTGGGGGAGTCCCTATTCCCTCAAGCACTACCAGGAGTGACTAGAAATAACGGTCACAAGCTGGCAGACGGTAGATTCAGGCTAGACATCAGGAGGCGCTACTTCACTGTCAGGGTGGCTAGGATCTGGAACCAACTTCCGAGAGAAGAGGTGCTGGCTCCTACCCTGGGGGTCTTTAAGAGGAGGCTAGACGAACACCTTGCTGGGGTCATTTGACCCCAGTACTCTTTCCTGCCCATGGCATGGGATCAGACTTGATGATCTACTCAGGTCCCTTCAGACCCTACAAACTATGAAACTATGAGGGGGGGAAGGAAGGGACGTAGTGGGGGAAAGATCAATGCCCCCTGCGATGCTAGGCACTGCCCAGGCAAGGCAGGGCGGGGAGACCACAGCTCATGGGGGGTGGGGGGAGGTGGCTCTCGCCACTGCTTGCATCCCAGGAGGGCGTAGGGGGTGGGGGGGGCCTGTGCCCCCTGGATCTGT